CCCAAAGAAAGATTTCATATTACGATACCCCTAGATTTCGCTCATTATTATTAACTGTGGTAATTTTTGCAATACCAAATCATTTTTTTCTGCAACAGAAATGATGAACATGTCCTTGCAACATTTCAGACATGTGAATAAACATATACCATCTGTATAGCGACAAAGTCTGTTGTAAGCACTCCTAAGTGTTGTGAATGGAAAGAAACATATACCGGTACCTTAAAATGTATGCATTGTATTCATCAACATAGCATGTGATGCAATGTGACAAGAGGGGCTGTAAAGGTGGTTTAAACATACAAGACAATAAAGTATTAATGCACCTAGCAAAGCTTGAGGCCAGTTACCCTGCACAAGTCACCTTGTTTGTATGATGTACATGTAAGTTGTGTCACTAGATCAGTCAAGCATTTGTACATCTCCTGAAAATCTGTCATGTTTGTTTTTCAGGAAATTTAGTCAGTCAGGTACAATTTGTAAATTGTCACTGAAAACTCGGCATTTTTCCTCACGCATTCCTCAGTGATTTAATTGCCTAATGTGAAAAGTCAGATATTTTTATGGAATATCTGGTACAACTGACATTGGAATTTTGAAAGCTACATAATAATAATAATAATAACTTCATTTATTACATCATAATAAAAGTTCAATAAATCATTTTAGGCTGTTATGTAATAAATTTAAAAAAAAGTAACAAAAATAAAAATACAAGTTAAAGGAAATTAAGATGGCAAATTAGTCTGAGATAGTGTGATGATAAGCACATGTCGTGTACAAAATATTAACATGAGATGACAGTTCCCGTACAGTTATTTAAATTAAGCATTGCATATTTGTGGATCTGTGTCAGTCTAAATATAGGGCATTTACCCGCATTCAGAGTGTTTTAGTGATTTTTTTTTTGTTGGCCCCTAGATAATTTTCATTAAATGTTTTTCTTTATTCAGCATCTTTTACTGTCTGTATTGACTCAATTTGTGATCACACAAACCAGTCAACTCTTAATGAATTTGTTACAGGTTCAAATGCACTGTAAAAGTGTATTTTTTTTTTTAGATAATTTTTTTTTTTCATATTGAAATTGCTCATGAGCGTTGATTCAGAAATTTAATTTTAAATAAATGGCTATTTTAATTATAAAAAGAACCAATTAAGGTAATGGGAGGTTTTGTACACAGGTACATATATAGTGTACTCATGTACGTTATTTTGAGCCTGGATAAGTGGCGAGTAGAATATACTTTCTGTTTGTCATTTGCATTGTTTAGTCAAGTAAATGTACGGCCGCTGTGTATGCCCCACATGCAAATTACTGTAATCATTCAAAATACAATGACGAGTAAAAAGACTAAGGGTCACAAACAAAATAAAATATAATCTATGCTACATGTGATGCATAGGAATGTGATACCTGTATAAAAGTGTTTTTTACCATATGGGAATTTTTCAGAATATATTGAAGTTAGTAATAATTTCACACTCCACTGACCTATGTATGTTATTATTAAGGTGAAAATTAAGATACCACACTGCATAGTCACCTGTATGAGTTAAACTTAACTTCAAAGCTGGCTATATGAGCTGGAATTGCCTTTCATATATATTTTGTTCTGAGTAACTTCAACTTATGTGTTGTAGTTTTGTGGTTTTGAAAAGCAAGCTAAGCTGGGTATAACCTATAGCTTCAGGTTATGCAGTTGAAAGCTAAGCTGAATGGTAAGTTATGGCTAGACTACACATGATGCTTTTATTTATTTATTTATATTCAGTGATAGCAGGTTCCATATGTCACCTACATCAAAAAATCTAGGTTCTACAATTGGTAAAACAAGAATGAGAAGGCTCACTTAGAGAGAAAATGCAGTAATATTATTTTGCTAGCATTAAAGACCACAGTGTCAGCCATTTTGAATTAAAATACTGTAGAATACAAAGTACTTTATTTTCGCTTGGAATTTATTTTCGCTATTTTCGCTGAAGGGATGATTCCGTGAAAATAAAATCCAGTGAATATACAGTGTAAATGTGAACTCACAGGTAAAACTTAACATCCACGCTGGCCATATTAGCTGGAATTGCCTTTCATATATATTTTGTTCTGAGTAACTTCAACTTATGTGTTGTAGTTTTGTGGTTTTGAAAAGCAAGCTAAGCTGGGTATAACCTATAGCTTCAGGTTATGCAGTTGAAAGCTAAGCTGAATGGTAAGTTATGGCTGGACTACACATGATGCTTTTATTTATTTATTTATTTATTTATTTATTTATATTCAGTGATAGCAGGTTCCATATGTCACCTACATCAAAAAATCTACAATTGGTAAAACAAGAATGAGAAGGCTCACTTAGAGAGAAAATGCAGTAATATTATTTTGCTAGCATTAAAGACCACAGTGTCAGCCATTTTGAATTAAAATACTGTAGAATACAAAGTACTTTATTTTCGCTTGGAATTTATTTTCGCTATTTTCGCTGAAGGGATGATTCCGTGAAAATAAAATCCAGTGAATATACTTTTTTTCCTATATTTCACATTAAACTCATGAACAAATCAGTGAAAATAAATTCCAAGCAAAACGCCCAAAAAGCCTTTTCAGCGAAAATTAATTCCAGCGAAAATAAAGTATTCCACAGTAGGTGAAATCAGTGACATTCATAAAGGTCATTTGGAAATAAAAATAAAATGGTTAAATTTAACACAAATCTGGACGGCTTCATTATGGAACAATGCAACCAGATATAAAAGCATGATTATCTATTTTGTGATTCAGTTGAAATGTATACAATGGAGGTTAACTCGCTGTATACGGACATGCATCGACTTGACATATTGACACAACCTAATATACATTTTCAACATTTTAATTTTAATTTTTAACTTCATAATAATTCATAGAACCTTCATATTTCATAGAAGAATTAAATATCATATTGTTTTTCAGCTTCATTATTAATTCATACTAGAGTATTAGTATGTTTTTTGAAGTGTTATTTTTAATTTTGTTAAACGAGTAATTTTAATCAAATAATTTGAAAAAAATCAATTTGTATAAAAATTTCATGAAAATTTAATATTGGTCATTTTCTTTATTTTCTACCAACTTCAAAAAAAACACTAAAGTTATTTATCAACATGAATAACAAACCAGTCAGCAATTTAAGTCATCAAATTCTGTAGTACTGGTAGTATTTTTAACATTATATTTTTAAATAATAGACCATTTTAAAACAAACTACATGTACATGTATTTAAAATAATTATGAATAATAAATGTGTAATTAAAACGACAGAATATACCTATTTATTTAGTGTCCCATGAAGCATGTAGAGTTATTAAATTATTTTATGAACTACGATAATCTTTGTCACAAACAAATATTAATGTTTGTGAGGACTTTAATGAATCTTGGAACATTTTATTTATATTAGATAAACTTGAGATTTAATTTAATTTAATACGTGAATATTGTGTTGAAAATTACACAAAATAAAATACAACTATTTGAAGGCAAGAATGTGAAAAACAGTAGAAAAAAATGACATTCTTTCTATACAGTAAAATCTTTACTACTTTTTTATGCTGCAAAGGAAATGAATCACAATAAAAGAGTCTTATTCAAATAAGTGATTTAAATAACAACAGCAAAATAATATATTTTGTAATAATTTTATTAATTATTCATATTATGTAAATTACTGAAAAAAAAATGTTCCTTTTGAATGTTAATTGATTATTAATCACTACGGAGTTATGAAAACTACTGGTTATACGGAACGAAAGCTTACACTATATGCCACACGTACTCAAAACAGAAACAACCCTGACCAGGTTTCAACCATTACGACTCTTATGATAAGTGGACGTTATATGCAGTAAAAAAACAACATCCAGTGTGTCTATCTAACTGTTGTTTTATTGCCTCACAGAATTGTTCAAATAAAATTGAAAAAAATAAATTTGAATATCCGGTCATTTGTGACGTAAATTTGAAAATATTTATTACGTTGGAATTGACACTTCATCAATTTTCAACAAATTAAGGTGCGAGGTACAAATTATGATTGCTATTTCTTGTTGTCCAATTTGTGTGATGAAAATCCCTAACGATAGGCCCAAATTAATTCAAAGAGTAATACGCAGTATGTCAAACTGTCAAGGAATGCGAAAACGACTGAAAAAACTGTTTCCATTCTACTGAAAACATCCCATAATACCACGACAGATTACAGGATATTTTGGTGCAAGAAAAAAATTATATTTTGGTGAGGGAGATTACATTGCAACATCATCCTATGCACAGGAAATCAATATTGAGGGGAAAAAATGATTTTATGTCAACGTTCACATCGCTTACCTTAAAAAAGAGATGAAGAATAAAGGAAATACCAGTTCCTTAAAATATCCAAAAAAACAGATAAAGAGGTATCATCACATGTGAGGAATAAAAATAGTCCAATCTGACATGGAATTAATAAATTTCATCCACGAGAAAAAACAGTGAAAAAAGGTGATAGCAATGGCGGCTACTACACAGTAGAAATGTAATGTATGCAAATACGGATGAGGGAGAAAAGGCAAATTTAATCAGAATATTCCATTATTCTCACAAGGGGTGATAGGTTATCAAATTAGCTCGCAGCTGTCTATAAATCTGATTTGTTTATAGATCATAACAATTCTTTGGAGCTATTAGAACATATAAACATAAAATATAATAAATATGACACACATATAAATATTAATATAATGCAATTTTGAACAAACATACTTTATCACATACCCAAATTATTTAAAACATGTTTGTAATAGTAACTACTAACTTTGAAACATTAGTAAACAGGATGCGATAGAACATATATTTAATAGTTCAAAAGATTTTTTTTTAAATATTGATTTGGAAAAATATTTAAAATTTTAAATTTGTATCATATACTATCATGACGTAATATGTTTTAAATTGTAAAAATTATTGTCATGCTAACATGACAAATTTCAAAAAGTACACTGATATGCTACACAGAGCTCAGCTCAGCCCATCCACTTCCATGTTGATCCACCCTCTCTTAATCATGGAATCACCCTTTAAGCTGCTCAATATTTCCTCCCTCATTTGAATAAACCATGACAACCCTGGATCAGTCTACTCACTTACAGGGGTGCTATGCTCAATTGTGAGGGTTTTTTAACACCAATTGCCCACTTTTGAGATATTATTCAGCAAACAAAGCACACTACGCAAATATAATTTTTGAGTTAAAATACATAAAAATAAAATTTTCAGTTATTTTAATATTTTTATCATTGACAACACACATGGATGTACCTAAATGTTGATAATGTTTCACCTCAACTGGTATTCAACCCCTTGAAAGAAAGAGAGGCCCTCACAGACTGACGTCAATAACAAAAATCAATTCATGATCAATAAATTATTGAAGTGCGGTAACTGAGCCAACAAAAGAAAATGAGACAAAAATACAACAAAACTACATCACCTATAGAGGAAGCAAGACGAGTCGTTACTCAGATAAATTAAAAAAATTGATCAAATTATTCTTAATTGAAAAAGCTTTTCTTTTTTCATTTCTTGACTTAAACTGAATATTAGAATAAATATGGAATAAAAATAAGACTTTAAATTAGAATTAAGTACACTGATGTAATGGTAATTATATTTTGTTTACATAATCGTTAACCACAAATTTCATAAAATTGTAAAATCTTCTAATTGCATAATTTTAACTCATTCAACACTAGATCAATTTTTGTCATCTTTAACAGAATAATACCCACAGAATTTTTTTCACCTATTTTTTCCCAAAAAATAACATAAATATATATAAAGTGAAAATGATGTAATGTTCATGCAATGTATGTACCATGTTTGAACAAAATCCGTTCATACATGTACACAACTGAGATCCGGATTCAGGGAATGGTAAAAATGCTTTATTTTGATGAATTTTCAACATTAAAATGGCCATCATTCGGCCATCTTGAATATATAGTAGTCATCGAACGAATATATGTGCAAATGTGTAACATTATGTAGGACATATATAAAAGGTTTGAAAAAAATTGGTCAGAGTGTGCGTCAGAGATATGACTATGGAAAAGCATGGAAGTCCAGATAAACGAATGTAGAGAGAAGAATGCAATTTACAGCTTTTTTATATCGCTTTTTATTCCCTTATTCGTCTTTCACAACACTGAAAGCGTTTACAGAATAAGTGCATGGGTAGATGAAGTTTGTTGTTAATTTTACAAAATTTTAACCTTAGCGTCAAAAGGAACACAGTCCTTCAAAGTACACTCATCAATTATCGCAACATTGAAAACCAAAAAAACTATTTGATCAAGACTCCAAGATAAAAACAGTTTGAGTTTGATAGTTTTAAAATTACTATTATGGGATATATATATTATGGTATTCACAGTTGACTTAAAGTGCCTGTGCAATGCCCACCCTCACGTTTCCCATTTTAGATCTGTGTCCCACTGAAAAGGGTAGTTATTGATTTTTTTGCTGCAAATGATTACTCGTATTCAAATAAATTTGGGATATTTTTCGTGTTGTAGCCACACCCACCTATCGTGAAACGGTCTATTGTTTCCGGATTTCCGACTCTCGCCAAAAGTGCGCCACCAAATGACAAAATGTGAGAGGATGTCATACCCCTGAGCCGTAATAACACTGGTCATTCAGTATACTTTTAAACGATATAACATTTTGCAGTCGGCGTTTTTTCTTTTTT